TCAACTCTTGCTTCAGGCCTAATCACTCCACAACAACTGCCGTACTTACATTTTCGAACGACTTGTACTCTGCTGCAGATGATGGTGAACTCACAGGCGCGATTTTTATTGACTTGACAAAAGCCTTTGATTTTGTTGATCGATATCTGCTCTTGGATAAACTTCATGGCATTGGCCTTTCTAATAATACAGTGTTATGGTTTAACTCGTACCTTCACAATAGAAAGCAATGTGTGGTTGTTAATGGAAAACAATCTGACCTGTTGATCCAACAAAAGGGTGTACCCCAAGGATCAACTCTGGGCCCACTTCTGTTTTCTATTTACATAAATGATTTATCTTCTCGTCTCATTAATTGTCGTACTCAGCTTTATGCTGATGACACTGTCATATATACATCCAAATCTGACTTTTCACAAATTCAGATCTCTCTTCAATCGGATTTTAATATCTTACAGGACTGGCTATCACACAATAAACTACTGCTCAACAAAACAAAATCTTATACTATGGTCTTTGGTACCAGGCAGAAGCTCAAATCTAAACCTAACGTAGTAATAAAATGTAAGTATGGCACTTCTCTGCATAAAGTTGATAGCTTTAAATATCTTGGTGTATGGCTAGACTCTGAACTTTCATTTAAACTACATATAAATCATGTAATACAAAAAGTCAATTACGGAATTGGTGTCTTACACCGCTCTCGCAATTGTTTTACGCTCAGTGTCCGAAAGAGAATTGCTTCTCAACTTATTCTTCCGATTATGGACTATTGTGATGTTGTCTACCAAAATGCACATACATCAGATCTTGCTCCACTCAACAATACAATAGACTATGCAGATTTGTTCTTGGTTGTCCTTTTCGTACACATCACTGCACAATGTATAACCAACTTAAATGGCCTTCATTAAATGTAAGAAGACACACGCATTGGCTTCAGCTGATATTTAAATGCATTTATCTTAACTATCCCCCTTATTTAAAGCAGTATTTTGTACCCTACTCGCCAAATCATCAAGTTAGACACTTGATTTATTTCTCTGTCCTGTCTGCAAAAGAATCTATTGGCAGAAGAGCGTTCATGTTCAAAGCCCCAACAGACTGGAATACTTTACCTGCTGCTATCAGATCTCTTGCATCATTGGGTATGTTTAAACATGCATTATCATCTCACTTTCAACTGGTCTGCACTTCTTATTGATGAAACTGATATTGATGAAACTGATCTGCTCGACTGTCTCTCAAATTGTAATGATTGTAATGATTGTACTTGAATTTTACTTAACAGACTGTACGTGGTTTGTCTTGTTTGTCATGTTTTGCTTTTTGTCTTTTTGTTTATGTATGTCTGTAAGTTGTTGCTATTGTCGGGACCCCCTTGAAAACGAGATGGTGCATCTCAAGGGGTTTATCCCAATAAATACAATTTCTATATAAACGGTCTGCAAAGTCACAAACCCTCAAAGTACACCCTGTAGCGAGTAAAACTCTAACACAGAAAAGACCGGTCTATGCTGCCCCAGAACGCCTCGTTGGAGATTTCTCTTTTTCCATTGTTTTCTTCCTGGGTACAGTGACGTGCCCATACCCAAATGGACCAATCCGTGGAGCTCCTCACACACACACACTCTCTCAGCGGCGAAACTGTGGCACGCTGGGGGAAATTAATCCAGCTCACACTGTCTGCTCCTCGCAGCAGCGAGCCGCGCAACGTCCCGCCAACACGGCACCCAGACCCCACGCAGCATTCTCATCTGTTTGTCATTACTGGTGTCATTTTCTGGTTGCTAACGCCATTGTAACACATAATCACTGATGTTCCGCTGTAATGGTGGTAGACCATAGTGGTAGACTCATCAGAACAGAGTGGGCGAGCTGACCAATCAGAGCACAGTGGGCTCACAGGGAGGGGGGGGCAGGAGCTCCAACAAGCCGTTTAGGACAGAGAGTGAATACACATACTATACAGAGATGCTGTATGAGAAACCAATGTGAGTTTGGAAAATTGCACAATATAAATCTATTCTAGTAGACCTCAACAATGGAATTATGATCAGTAGAAATGGCCATGACATGGGACCTTTAATGACTTTGTATACTGCAGGGTAGCTTGTGAATTTACTCCAGGTGTAACTAAAGTCTGATTTAAGTGTTGATTATATTTCACATCATTAAACTAAATATGTAAAGTAACTAAAGGTATTAAATAAATGTAGGGGAGTAAAAGTACACGATTAACCTCTGAATTATATAGGAGTAGAAGGACAAAGTAGTGTAAAATGGAAATACTCAAATAAAGTACAAATCTCTCAAAATGTTATTTTAGTAAAGTACTTGAGTAAATGTACTTGGTTACTTCCCACCTCTGATGAAAAGTAAGTACTATATGGACATGAGCTTTTTCCTAAAACATGCTATTAGCTTTAGTAGATAATCTAGACAGAATACACACAAATAAAATACCTAACCAAAATGCATAATTCAATTGATACATTCAAGCTGAGGAACATTGACAGTGGTTATCTAATGAAAATACATTATCCAGAGTGCTACAGCAATTAGTCCAAAAACAAAAAATTGAGTCAGCATTTGTGCACATCTGGTTCCCTCGTCTTGACGTTAATGGGTTTTCTGAATGGGTTTTTGGTTAGATGGTTAGAATAAGTTATTAGACTTACAAGACTTATTCATGTTGTGTTTTACCATTTGATTTATGGCAGTAAATACCCAAAAGTAAATACCCTACAAGTGTATTATGTGTTTTTAGTCACTTAATGAAAATACAGATATTTTCTGACACACAATAGCTTTTTTTGTCAAAGAGTTCAATATTTCACAGGAGTCACAAAAATATGCTTGCTGATTGGCTGTGGGTACTCTGGCCGAGTAACATTTTAAAAACTACCAACCTTAAAGAGGCTCTATTATGCTTTTTGGGGTTTTCCCTTTCCTGTGGTGTGTTTTTGTGCATGTAAATGGTCTGCAAAGTCAAAATTCCCAAATTTCCCTCCCGAGGGTTTTTCTCTCCCACACACTGCCTGAAACACCTCCATTAGACTCCTTTGTTTACTTCCGCAACATAATGACATCACTATGTATCACTGGCGCTTCTATTGGCTAGCGCTCCAACACATTGTACGTGATACGCTTATGGGCGGTACATCTCTAAGCGGTTGACCAATCAAAACAGAGCCGGCCAGCTAACCAATCAGAGCAGACTGGGCTCTTGTTTCAGACAGAGGGTGAAAAGAGGTGCTGCAGCACAGGCAGTATGAGAAAAATAAAGAGCTTTCTGTACATTAAAGCATGGAGACATGTTGCAGTAGAGACACTAAATACAATAACGTTATAAAACCTGAAAATGTGCAAAACAGGGCCCCTTTAAGTTTGGCTGCAATGCACAGATTGCATGTCAGTGTAAGCAGTACTTCACTCGTCCCCTGAGGTAATGCGGTGTAAACTTCATCCTATCAAATACTGTGACAGAACACTTCTCCTCCCTTAGCTTAGCGGCGGTGACGTCATGTTGTGTAATTTACAACCCAACTGACGCTTTTTACTCCTGGCAAAAGCCTTTTGATCTAAAAACCATAAAAGTATTTGATCATTTGTGAAGATTATCTTGCTGAACAAAACCTGAGAGGGTCATTAACTGTTTTATACCACAGCGTTTACTCTCTAGGATAATAAGAAATCCAATGGAAAAAATCAGATTGGGTTTTTTGTCAAAGGAATTTTGGGTTGACCTACAAAATAACTTAATCCCACTCTATTAGCGGATATAATACCATAGGGCAGTGTTTCTCAAACTTTTTCATACCAAGGACCACCTAACTCCCCAAATATCCAAAACAAAAGGCCTGCTTACCACTCCAACAGTATATAACAAATTACAGCCTAATAATGACAGCTTAACCTTCTCTATATCGCCTCGTTCATCAACAATACAAATACAACTACGGATTATATAAGCATTTCGTTCAAATGCGATTTAAAATGCTGACAGGTTTTACACCACTTATGAAATGTAGACTACATTTATTACGGAGTTTATGTCCGAGCCAACAGACTCACAGATCGTTGGCTACTGAGAGAAATGCAAAAATACACAGCATGTAGTACGACACAAACCTCCGCTGTGGATTTTCAAAACAAAATACAGTAAAACTATGGTTGCAGGCCCAAGTTTAACTCTCTGAGGTCTAAGCAATTTTTTCACATGTTAGGCTCGCCTGGGCTTTTTTTGTAAAATGTACTATTAAAACATGAACCTTGGTGACCATTGGGCTGGCCTGCATGGTCTGCCTACAAAACAAAAATAAAAAAACGTTGTTGCAGCCACAACAACAGCCTCTGATCATCAACAGACTTCATGCAATGCTTCATTGGATGCATATATTAGATAATAATCTCTATCTAACTCCTAACACATCTATATCTACTTCCATGGATAAATGTTCATAAAAGACATCCATTGTTTGTTTTATACGCTTCTTGAAATCTAAAAGAAAACACATCGTTTTTCTAGAACAGATTACAAATCGCCTGAAAATGGTACAAACAAGTGGCAACATGTGTGATCACTGATGAAGGTGTGGCGCTGGGCTATATAATGCCCGCTCCATTGCGGAGATATTCCCGCGAGAGTGCGGAAAACTTAAATGTATTTATTTATTTCAAATGTGAAATGTTACCAATATACTCACGGACCACTAGGGTGCGCTCATGGGTGTGGCGCTGGGCTATATAATGCCTGCTCCATTGCGGAGATATTCCCGCGAGAGTGCGGAAAACTTAAATGTATTTATTTATTTCAAATGTGAAATGTTACCAATATACCACCAGTGGTCCGCGGACCACACTTTGAGAAACACTGCCATAGGGTACAACATGTCACACATAAACACAGGATGAGCAACTTGTTGTTTATCATACACAAGTGTCTTGTAGTTGTGTTCATGGTTTATTAAAGTCATGTTTCATATGTTTGACTGCAGGGTTGAGCCTGGCAGAGAGCACATGTTCCCCATGGAGTTCTTCTTCCCGCCACAGAGGACGTGCCTCATCTGTTCAGACGAGGCCTCTGGCTGCCATTACGGTGCGCTCACCTGTGGAAGCTGCAAGGTGTTCTTCAAAAGAGCAGCAGAAGGTAAAACCCAAACACCTGTGTTTTCAACCTGTTGCATTTTATTTCAACTTCCAACTTATTTCAACCTTCAACAGAATATTTACCAGCATCCTCTGTTTTCTCTGTCCAAGTAGGCAAACAGAAATACCTGTGCGCCAGCAAAAACGACTGCACCATTGATAAGCTCAGAAGGAAGAACTGTCCGTCCTGTCGGCTGAAGAAGTGTTTCGAGGCTGGGATGACTCTCGGAGGTAGGATAGAGACACATACTAAAATCAGCTTTTATTTTATTGCAGGTTTATTATAACGCTGACATTTTTATTTGTATTACCTGGTATTAGTCACTTCAGAAATAGGATGTGTTCCAGACGAATGTGCATTTAAAACCCATTCACATCTCTGCAGTACGATAAACTCTGTGCACTACATACTGTATGAACAAATCACACTCTGGAGAAAGTCCTTGAAGTGAAACTAGTAATGGCTTCCCCAGACAGAGTACTTTATTCACTCTTCACTGCACATCGTCGCTGGATCTCTTCAATTGCAGCATCATCACAGGGGATCAGTAACAGGGGGTGTTACTGATAATCAAGCCCCTGACTGAGCTGCCATGCAATTTAGACATCTTCCATTCACTTCTCCTTACTGTCACCCAGACCTGTTCGTCAGGCTTTAAAGATTGACATGTGTTCAATTTTCACTCTCTTCCATTTTTCTCATTCTGTGGACGGTGGAAATTGTACTGGAAGCACAAAGCTGACATGAGACATGTGAATTAAAGCAGCAGACATGCTGGTAATTTTGCCACCAGTCACCGTAAAACCCATGGAGGGAAAGTGTGTTCTAATGATGATGATTGTAAGTAAAAAGGCACACCTTTTCTAGTTGTGCCTAAGAAGAGCCTCTTTCACTCATGTTCTCATCCTGGACATGTAATTTACTTGCGGCATTTCACAGGAAAAATTTACCACAATCATTTGCAGAAGTGGTGCAATTAGATGTATTATACATTTGGTCTATTATCCCAGTAGGTTTTCACTCAAAATACTGAAATTAAAGGAAGTTTCTAGTTCAAATAATTTCACTTTTATTGACTTATTACACATTTGCTTATGTATTTGAAGATATATAAATTAAATGATAAATAAATATTATCATTGACATTTGTTTTACTCTTTGTATTTCACGCAAAGCAATGAAATCGTCTGATTCTTGCGTTTGGCATCTGTTCAAGACTTGAAGTTATTATAAATTGCTCAAAGCTTCACATTTTATAATTAGAATTCCATATTTTTCCTGGAATGTTAATTACATCCACAAATAGAAGCCAAGTAGGGAGGCTGCCGTTGCCTTACCATGATCGCTCAGTCATTTAGCAGAAACCTGAAGAGGCCCGCTGCACATCTGCACTTAATGCATAAATATCTCGAAGATGTTATCATACTAAAAACCTTTTTTCAATTTTTGACATCAGCCCTGTCTTACACAATGGTTCCAAATTGTGTTCCCAACCCAGAGTGTACACTTGTGTGAGACATCGTCCTAAGCTGCTGGAGCTTCTGTTTCAGCAGCAGCCGGAGAGGGTTACTTAATGATTTACTCGAGCTGCTATTCTTCCAGAGCCTCCTAATGGAAAAAGCAGTAAGTGATGTGGGACGGTCCTGGCACCAACCCACTGTCAGTTCAAATATATAACTTATCCAAAAAACGTTTTATTTCATGTGGCAATGAGGAGTTCTTCATGAAATGGTGACTGAATGTCTAATGCTTTTTAAGCCTGTGCCCAGTCGATCTTTTTATGGAGACCTGGTTTAAAAAAAACGTTTGTGATGAGCAAGCTTTATTTTGATTTGATTTTACACATTTAAAAGTTACAGGAACAGTTCACATTAATATACATTGTTTAGCAAGCTAGAGCTACACAGCTACACAAAACCACAACATATATGGCTGTTCAACCTTTAAAAAAATCAAAAAAATCAATGAAAAATAACCTGTAATATAGGGTTTTAGCTCATATGAAACTAATGCAACAGGCCTTACAATAGTTTGGCCTGTTTGTAACTACCTGCATGTTTATTGCTGTTCTGAGTTTGTATCTTCATGGTTTATTGCACTTATTAAATATAATGTAAAATACATTGTAACAGGAATAGCAATACTGTATAAAATTCAAATACATTTGTATAATTTCCCATAAAATACTTCAAAACAAGGAAAACAATTAACTTAAAACAAAAGATTTATCTTCATACATTACAGAATAGGGTAACACACTCGATTGCCTTTAACCATGATTGTAAATTCATTTTAAATTGGCAGTGTGTGCCTCTGGTAAGTGTTGGCAGACAGTTCCATGTGTGAGCTGCTCTCACCTCAGTCTGTATTATACAAGAGCTGGAGGAGCCTTACGGCCCGTCCACACGGCAGCGTTAAAAAAATCTTAGAGGTGGGCGTATCTGAAGCTTGGGGATTTTTTGCGAGCAAGGCACCAACAACCAATCACATGAATCTCCCGCCCCCGACATACGAAGCAAAAAAGCCCGAAGTAAACTGGATATAAACTCCCCAAACAGGCGAAAACATACCACTGTCTCTGCCACCTCCCTCCATGCCTGGCTCCTCCGGTTTGTATCCCGGTAGGTAAAGAGGGACTGGTCATAAAGCACCGGGTGATTCCCTACCGCTAATTTCTCCTCCATTTTTTGGAATATGAGGAAATGACCTGCGGTATGTCTCTCCCAGCATACACGCGGTTTGATTGGCTAGCGCTTGAACTGTCAGATTTGCATACACGGGATTTGATTGGCTGACGCTTCCACCTCAGCTTCAAAAGTTGAACATTGCTCAACTTTGAATCCTGAAAATCCTGAAAATCTCCGCTCTGCTGCCCACAATGCAGTTCGGCAAAAAGTGAGGCAAAGTGACGTCACCCCATTCAAAGTGAATGGGCAGAAGCGTTCCAAGATTTTTTTGCTGTGTGGACGGTCCGTTATAGAGACAAGGCTTTGTGAATGGATAAAGCTGTCTCCACTCAGGCAGTAACAATGGTAATGGGTGTGATGCTTCCTTTCCACTACCCTAAGACCCTGGTGGTGGCATATAGACGATTTAGCTAGGCGATTGACAAAAAAATGATATCCAATTGTTTTGATGATCCATCCAACCCTTGCAGGAATTCTTTAATGCAAATATGTCAGCCGAAAGTCCTCACATCAGAGAAGCTGGAACCAAAAATAATCAGAATTTCTTTACTAGTCTCATAGAGGGGATTTGTACAGTGTTACAGCAAAAGTTAGATGGGAAATACTAAATAAGAGACATGCATAAAATATTAAGTGGAGGTAGAAATTACGCAAATTCAAATTCAGTACCGATCCAACAATTAGTACAGTAACAGTATAGACGTGGCATGTAGAGGTAGTGTTATAGCAGCCAGATAACAGAAGTGAAAGTATAATGTATTACAGTAATTGAATAGTCTAACTAAGACATAGCAGCCAGTAAGAATAATAATTATAAAGCGATATATATATATTGCATATAAGTGATATGTGATACATGAAAGATCTTTAGTATTTATTCTAAGGAAATAACTGGATAAAAAAAAATAAACATCAAATGATTTGCCAATTAGTGTTTTGTCCGCTAACATCATTACATTTAAAGATTGATCTATTCTTCTTTGGCATAATAACAGGGTATTGATAATCAGTCAGTGTGATATTAGTGTACACATTTTTTTTGTAGTAATAATGGGGAGAGCTTGTTGAATATAAAGTGTAACCATAGAGTAATATCCTTATACTCATTATATTACATAACATTTTTAATAAAGATTTAAGGGGATATTGTAAGAATTCTACTTTAAAAACCATCATGTCTCATGTAAAAACTCTTACCGTATACAGATTAGTGGTTTTATGCATATTTCTTTAAATAATAACAATAACTCAGGGCTGGGAAAATTCAATATCAACTGTTTGTCCTACAGTAGTTAACTTATTTTGTTATGTTTAGTGCTATGTTGAATAAAGAACCGTAATTAAGACTTAATGGCCCTAGCTTTCCAAAGATATGTCACTGGAGAAACAAGTGTTTTGCATTTTTCAGAGAAACTACAATTATTGGTTCCAAGTAAATATTCTTGCATTTCATATTTACTTTGAGGTGAAAATTCAACAAATAACCTATCCTTGAAGTCGGCATTAAAAGTATTAGCATGAATATAACCACCACATTAAGAAAAGAGAGATCATTTATGAACAATGAAGTGACAGGTGACTCTCTCTCTCCAGCCTCTCTGCTCCCTCACACCCAGAAACACTCCTCACATCTGTGCTAATGATGTAATGACAGTGACAGCCTGGACACCAAAGTGAGAGTAAAGTGGGATCTGCAGAGGCACATATTACAAAGGCGTCTCAAGAAGTGAGGAAAAAAATACTAAACTGACTTTCGAGACAATCAAGTCCCTCCTGGCACCTAAAAATAAGGTAGGATAAAGATGGTGATTATAATGGTGATGAGACGGGTAATGACATATCGGGAACGAGGCCAGAAATGTGAGAGTATAGAGAAAAAAATGTCCATTCAATTTCAAACGTGTGATTTGATTGAAAATGGGCTTATTATGGATGCTTCTGCAGCGTATTCACTGGAGGTCAGTGTTTGGTGGAAACCATCAAAGATACTAACGCCACAGTGGACATTACCTTTGAATTAATTAGTCTGAATGTAATTTGTGATTGCAACAAATGCCGTGCTTGAATCGTTTGAATGTCAATCTCCCGTTTGTATTGGCTTCAACTCAAGCCTGGGGATTTTAAGGTGAGCTCAACCCAATCTATTTACTCTGCACTCTACAAAGATCAGGAACCTGTCTGTGTCACAGTTAAGAATCTCAGGCAGGAGTTTTTAATTAACCATTTTTATTTCAAATGTTTGTCGTTGGCTCAGACTTGGAAAATGTGAGACTTGCCAATTATCTTTCATATATAATCTGCAATTGTCTTTCAACCCGGCTGTTTATGAGAAAGACTTACGTTGTTTCTATAACTGGCAATATTTAATATTTATCCAACTGAACTGCAAAGCCAGGCTGCAGTTTTAATGAAACATTCTCTACACAGAAGCTGTGAGAGGAAAGTGCACTGCTTTTTACGGTCACTCAACGTTTATATAATTGATAAGAAATTAAGAGTGAAACTTCCTCTGGAGGAAACTTTAGATTTTAGCCTTTGCAGACCATTTACATGCACAAAATATAAAACACACTACATGAAAGGGAACACCACAGAAAGCACATGGCCTCTTTAAAGATGTATTATGTCTGTGGAGACTGTCACAAAGTTAAAAGCTAGTGACCAGAATACATGTTAGTTCTTCAATGCGTTGGGCAAAAAGACACATTTATATTTGTCTGTTACTCAATCTCTGGTAGAGCCGTAATAAAAAAAAAACACGCTTAGTTAAAGTTTAACTGTTGGCAACTCTATAACTTGTACCTTGTATCTGTATAAAAGTGTACTCGGTAGAGAGCAGATTCACCTTCCAAACAAAAGAGCATTAGGTCTTTGAGCATACAATCATAAATATGCACAAAGAGATTTGGCTGAAGGGTCCCGTACTATGTGAGGTCAACTAAGGCAAACAGACGGATAACACACACACTGACCGGACACACGAACCACCCTCCACCACTTAAAGATAATAAAACAGTTATTTGTTGGTCTTAGTCCAAACTTTTAAGAACCAAATATATTTGGGTGCTGTTCAATTATTATTTTCTGATTCAGTACCTAATGTACATGACACTCTACTCCTCTAATACCTTGCTCCCATTGCTTCCAGGAGAGACTTAAAGGTCCCCTATTATGCAAAATGCACTTTTTGATGTCTTTTATACATAAATGTGTGTCCCCGGTGTGAAAGGAGACTCACAAAGTGTCAGAAAATACAACCCTCTCTCTTTTTTTCCTTACCCACATCTCTAAAAATGGGGGTACAACGGACCTGATCCAGATTTGCTACGGTCATGACGACATTACTAAAATATTGGCTGGCTTTACGCCCACGGCCCTATCAGAAACGTCGCTATCAGAAACAATGCGCGACGTGTTTTGGAATTAATATGGTCTGTGTTTACATTAGCAAGCATCGCTAACACTCAGAGCTAACCTGTACTGGAGAGAGTATGTGTAAAAAAGCCGGATATAAAAAGGTACTGTCCTTGTGGTAAACCTGCAAGAAAAAAAGCATTTGAGCTCCATACTGTTTCAGAAGTAATCCTTGATTAGGTTTGGAACATCATATGGCGTTTCATCACGGCAGCATTTTCTACGTAACATTAAGTTTGGCTCTTTTTCTGCTGTAACAACGTACATTTCCCCTCTGGGACTAATAAAGGTATTCTGATTTAGCTGAGAATTCTCCTGCATAAACATGCATGAGCTCTCATCTCTTTTTTTTTTTTTAAAGCTACAGACCCAGAATCAGCACTTCTCTAACAGGGCTGAAATAGAGGGGTATGGTGCATGGCTAGAATGGGTGATCTGTTTGGTATTTTGAGCAAAACCCCTATAATATATGACTAAAAATAGTATAATAGGAGACCTTTAATTTAACAGTGAAATGAAGGTGTTGACATGATGGTGCACAATGAAGTTTTAAAATGTGAACAGACGTTTTGACCCCATCGTGTAGTTATCAGCGTAGTCCAGAACTGCTCACTATGTAAGGGATAATGTACAACACGTACTGTGATACGTACTCGAGGTGAATGGGGTAGCAATGAAAGAAAATCTGTCAGCCTCAGAGAGAACCGTTTAAGAGTTAGACAACAATGATGTTATACGTTTACAGAGATATTGGCATAATCCAATGGTTTAACCAAAATATGTAAACGCCAATGGTTTGTGGGTTCTAACATTGAGCAGCTTCCTTAAGACTGATCGCATTTGTGGGGTTATAAATTACAGATGTATCATTACTCAAGGGGGCAGCAGATTTGTTTCAGTATTTGGCATTTGTTTTCTCTTGATACCTATTTGCTCTGCAGTGCATAAGGAATACAAATGTAATGTTAATATGCATGATTATTGAGATGAATGGTTCAAGAAAAAAACTGTATTTTTAAAACTGCAAAACCTCCCATGGCGACGATGTAATAAGAGGGGCTAATTTCCAAGTATACATCAACAGCGAGCTCTCATTCATGAGCACAGGCCTTTCCTCCAGATGAGACTCATCTGTTCGGAGAGTTCTCTTTCAAATGGAATATGATTCAATATATTTGACGCTATTAGTATATCAGTCTGGCTATTGTTGGGTAAAATTGATATTTCTCTTGAAGGTTACTTAAAACCTGCAGATGCATTATGAGACATTTCCAACAGATGATTGGAAGGTGGAATTACATGAAACCTCAGCACAGTATTTTTTGCTTTTTTTGGCTTGTCATTGTACAAACAACATTTAGCTGTAATTGTTCCAGTTAGGCAGTATGGATTTTTTTACAGTCAATGGCATAAAAAGCCATTCTGGCTTCAGGCAGTCTATACAGTTACAACAGCTGGATTTAAATTCAATCAAATGTGTAATTTGTTACATTTTCATTTGCAAAACACCTTGTGAATTGGAGTTTAAAGACCAGGTCACATTGCTTGTGAGCTAATTGTTTGACAAAGTAGCATATACCTGATAATAATAACTTAACTGCTTCTTGATCGATTTCGTGATTTTGTTTGTAGTACGTAAACTAAAGAAGATTGGACAACAGAAAAACCAAGAAGAGGATCATCCTCTTCCGGAACACTCAGAGGTCATCCAGAACCCCGCTCCTACTTCAGGCCTGAGCTACAACCCCCAGATGGTCTTCCTCAACATCCTGGAGTCCATCGAACCGGAGGTGGTGAACGCAGGGCACGACTATGGGCAGCCAGACTCCGCTGCCACCCTGCTCACCAGCCTCAACGAGCTGGGAGAGAGGCAGCTGGTCAAAGTGGTCAAATGGGCAAAAGGGTTGCCAGGTAGGATGCTACTTACATTTTTTGAAACAATGTTTTTTTTAGCTTCTTAATGCTTATCTTTGTTCACCAGCTGCTCGCTCACGCAGAACTGCAGAGTCAGGTGAAAACTCTGTGTGCCCCGCTTTACGTACAAGTACATTTTTGATTTATTGGGCTTGGCTCAGGGTGTGATTGGTCATCTATCAATTGAAGGGTCAGTGGTTCAATCCCCAGCCCCTGCAGTCAACATGTAGTGTCCTTAGCAAGCTACTGAACCCCCCAAATTACTCTCAGTTATTTTTCAGTCGCTTTGGATAAAAGCAGCTAAATATAATGTAATGTAATGTACTGATTATATCTTTTGAAGTACTTTGAGTCAGGAAATGTGTCCCTGTATAATAACAATTATTGAGTATGTTTTTGCATGGATGAATAAATAGAACCTGATACAGTGTTGGAGGCGGTACCCCCGTTGTTGCTCAGTGGCGCATGAAGCCAAAATGGCCAGACTGAAGAGCAAAATAACCCGTATCTGGGCCCATGGAGCATGCGCACTTGAGTTTTCCTTAAGCCCCGCCTCCAATCTCCCGCTCTCAGCTCAGTGAACTGAATGGATAGGCAACATAACTCTTGATTCAGCTTTTAGACCCTTATGATTTAAATAAGGGCTATAAAGGTGTCCGTACTGGGTAGTTGATTTAGTTCAAAAAAAAATTGAGGGACCTGGGCAATTCCTGGCAGATGTCATGCTTCTATTTCCAGCTTATTGATCGAATAGTGCTCACTGGGATATTCAAAGGCTTGGATAATATTGTGTCGCTTTTTCCTAATGTGCATATCTATGACTTTATCTCTAACTTCCTTGCTTTCTCTGGTCTGGTCAGCTGTTCTTGAGAGTCACTGACCAACATTAGTTAGACTTAGGAGGTTAGGAATCAATTGTTTGTGTAATTTACAAGCCAACTGAAAGATGTGTGTCCTCTGCATAGGTATGGAAAGAGATGGTGGGCCTCCTGAGGACACTGCCAAGTTGATATAATATTGAGATCAAAAAGTAGCGGCCCTAAAGTCTATCCTTGGGGAACTCCACAAGTCGGACTGTCAAGATAAATACGTTATCGACTTATTTTACATGACCTTGATCCTTTCTGGTGACCTCGAAATTGCCCGTTGTGTGCCCGTTGCGTGTTTGTGTAACTAAGAATATAATACCTATTCAAGCCAACATGATGCAATGATTAACAGTTTCAGGAACATTCTGAATGTTCTCACATCTCAATTCCAATGTTAAACTCTTATTTAAAAGTATAGACTTTGAAAGGATGTATTTGCATCATAATGTTATTATACAATCATTATATATTAGTGGCATAAAATGCTCTTAAAATAACAATAATTGTTATTATTTCTGGTACAATATATGCTCCAGCAAAAGTAGGTGTAACTAGCAAGCACACAAGTTGTCATCTACATCTTCTAAACAGACAAAGAGCTGTCCAACAGAGACAAATAGAAGAAGGAAAACCAATTACAAACTGTTATAGAAAAGCTAAAGTGGAGGTTATTATCAAAGTGTTTTGACACTCAAGCAATATTGATTAATTACACTTTAAACTGTACAAGAGTTTGTGTCTTTTTTATAAAAAAATAACCCATACAGTATTGTATTTGAATCTTTCTCCTTAGGTTTTAGAAAACTCCATGTGGACGACCAAATGACTGTCATTCAGCATTCTTGGATGGGGGTGATGGTGTTTGCCCTGGGATGGAGGTCCTATAAGAACGTCAACGGCAGGATGCTTTACTTCGCCCCGGATCTCGTGTTCAATGAGTATGTACACGTCTGATTTATTCAATTAAATTACGGTGTCTGAATTTTTTTTTTTTTTTAATCTGGTTGTGAGTAACATGCTGCGCTCCTGATCATATGAAGACATCCCCTTCAGTGAGTGAGCCTGTGCCTTCGTACCGCCACTGTGGTACACAATAGAGTTCTTCACCACTTTCTCTCCCCCATCTTCCTCTCATTTGCTTTCCTCATGCTCAAAGACATCTCTTGAATTTTCTAAATGTGAAGTAGAAATTGTTGCAGGCTTTTTAGGACCCTGTTCATCCAATTTCCTCCTTAGGTGTTATTCTGTTACAGTGAGATTAAAGGAAGGAACATTAGTCTCCAGCAGTCAAACTCTCACAGCGCTGGTGAAGCTGATTCCAACAGTGGTCAGGTCTGACTGAGTGTAAGTGAGGAATATTAATGGATAGCAGCCAGTCTTTAGTTTGGACTTAGTTGTAATGAATCTAAAAGGCAGAAAAATATTCAGACATAATCATCAAGATGCAATTATTTTCTCTTTTTAAATGACAACTTATATAGTTACCATATGTATGACTTAGTTACCTTAATGTTTGTGTAAATATACTGTAACAGAGGAGGAAGAAATAGTGTTTTTTAGTATAATTTTAGTTTTGCTTAGTTCAGTACCATCTCACTGATATGCTTATTTTGAATTAAATTGTGATTCAAGTGATTTAGTATGGTACTCCCATAAAGTTGGCAGACGCTAAGACACAGCAGCAGAGACGGAGTTCTCCTGGCTTTCAATCCTCGCATCCAAACCCTGAACCTCAAATTATTTCCCACAAACCCCCGATATGGTATTTTCCATGAAACCCTTTAGTCAAAGACGGCAGTGGCTCAGTCAGTAGGGGCTATTAAAGAGGGTTTCATCCTCAAATTCTATCTCTGATCACATTATTTATGCACATGTTTGACTGAAGTACACTTAGCAATACTAAATTGTAAAAATACTATATACTACTATATAACAAGTAAAAGTACAAAAGTATTGGCATCAAAATATACTTAGGTGCCACAAGTAAAAGTACTCATTATGCACTATGACCCATTTCAGAATATCATTTATTTAATAACTGGTTTATGATTATTAATGTTTTAGAGTGTTTTTCCCACAGCTGGTTAATTTAGAGCTAATTTGAATTGCTTGGTATTATGCTGCTGGTTGTTTTCACTTTCTCAAAGTCATTTAATAATTGATTAATATTTTGTATTAGTTTATAATCTAACATACGTCTCCAAACCCAAAAACACAGATGAAATCACTGTGACATCATCATGGTTATTGTGCCAGACCTTTTAAAGCTCTTTCCACATTCATTACTCTCTGTGGTCAGTAGACTTAACGTGCTGATGTATTCAGTGAAGTGTGCCTTTAATCATTTATTTAATCATATTTCATAAGTGTTATATTTTGCTAATCAACTAATTCCATTGCATCTTTATAGTATAAATCAAGCATATTAATATAAATAAAAACGCCATTTTGCAAAAGCACTGATCACGCAGCTCTCAATGACGCATGATTATTTGCTGACTGTCGCACTAAACTCGATTTTAACAGATTATGTTGTATAATTTAATTTAGACTGAAGGTTTAACATTTCTACATATTAAGAGGAATAAATAAATACAATTAAAGAAACAGAAAAGAGAATTCAAACAGTTGATGACAAATAATATTGCATCCTGACTCATACAAGCGTGTAAAAACTCAACAACATATTAACAGGTTATATTGATTATTGTATACACTGATTTATGCACACTTACCTTGCTTCACACTTCTGGCCGCACCCATTTCAGTGATGCAGGTGTGTATCATCGTTGAGCTGTCTGTGTGTTCGCACTGGGCATACAGCGGGTGGAATACATCATGGAATCTCTAACAGATTCAAGTTGGGAGCTTGGAAACTAACAAGAACAAGTTTCATACAAAGAAAGAAGTGAATTTATATTAAGTGAAGTGGATTAGAAGCTCAGATGTGGAGGATGGAATTAGGGCTGGCGGAGGCCATATAAATCAGAAAGGTGGATAATTGTAGGTATTTAAATGAAATGTGGGCATGAAGTGTTAATGGACTGAAGGGCTCCTTGTAATCTTTTAGTTGTGCTGCTTACCATCTCCTGCCAAGTCTAAGAGGGGCAAATACCCAGACACATCTTCGTAATTGGAGACTGAATTAAGGAGAAATTGAAAGAAATTGAAGGCTTTTTCATTCAACTTAAATTGCCGGTGTACTTAATGTATACACCTCATATTTAGAAAATCCTATGCATACAGTTCTATGATTTACTTTAATTGTCTTTTAGTTTAAATATTTGTTTCATGTGATAGAAGAGACATGCTGTGAGAAATTGAGTCTAGGTTTGTATACAGAAGCAGGTTGTCATACAGACAGGTTTAGCTGTCGGTGAACTTAAAGGAAATAGCTACATGAGAACTATTGATTATATCATCACTATAGATCCCTTAATTAATTCAGGTGCTACTAAAATATTAACAATGAATACAGACTGCATCTTTAAAAGACATCATAAGAGACACTAATGGCACCATTTGGTTACTAGAAGATGGAATAGATATATTTCTGTTTCTGTGGGAACACATCTTTTTTTTTTAAATTCTTTAAACATTCTGTAATCTAGGGGTTGTGTATAATTTGGTAGTGTTTATAGTATGTTATAGACTGATGTAAACTATCCCCTTTGCTCACGTCATAGCTATTACAATTCTTGAACATTAACAATCTCAGTATTGTACTGTAGATCCAGACTTCATTCGTGACACATAAACAAGAAATAAACAGTGCTCCTGGTGCAGGAATAGTTGATTTGGTGTGGAATCATCAAACACGATATGAAATGTGCTATGTTATTTATAATAAGTGGGCGTTATAATTTGATTTTGTGCTCGTAGGATGAAGCCCGGCTAGCTGTCTTTCTGCTAATCTAATCTCAGCTAACAAGCAGCTGGCATTGGCTGAATATTTACCAGACAGACAGGACAGTGGTATCGGATCTCATATAAAATCAAATCTTCAGCAAATCAGCCAATATTTCCCAACATGTTGAGGAGACCCTGAAAGGAAAACAGGAAGTAAATAAAATCGCGGTACCCATTTTCTAAGTTGGATCTTGGAGGTTCAAATAGTTTGCATATACGCTGGTCTGAGTTTGTTATAAAATCTATAAAACCACATATCTGAAACTCTGCCTCCATTTCCAGAGAGATGGAGAACATTCATTTCTTTCTTCACAGCCTTAGAATATGATGAAAACTCTTATTCATTGGTCATAATAAAGCAGAATCATTTCATTAGACTGAACAGAGAAAGCGCACCTTGATCACGATGTCTATTCTCGTCTTCTCCCGAGCTTATTGAAATAACTGAAGATTGTTCAGGCAAGATGAACATGAAATATCCCTTCTTATAATATTGCACTTTAATGACTAAAACACTACTGAACTTTATAGCCAATTATAGAGTACTAGATTCTAGTGTTACAGAGTTGTGTGTTTTCAACATCTTGCTCCAAATGTCAAAGATCACCCAGCAGAGATCTGTATTTTCATAAATGTTCCCATTACACCATTAAAGGATGCGGAGCCCACCTCTGACATTTTTAGCTCTGCAGAAGTTACTCATTACAGAATAAATGTCCGAGGTGTAAGGCAATTTGTTCCTCCGCCTCTCATGGTTGGAACATTTACTTTATTTCACATTTGTCACCCTGACCTTTTCACACCCGCAGGAATCGGATGCACACTTCCAGCATGTATGAGCACTGCATACGGATGAGACATCTCTCCCAGGAGCTGCTGCTGCTGCAGATCACTCACGAAGAGTTCCTCTGCATGAAGGCCCTGCTACTCTTCAGCATCCGTAAGCTCTGTGTCCTGGGCATCAACATGTAACTTACCCCAAACAAATGTCAAGGTTTTAGTCTTAACCATTACTGTCTTTTTCTCCAGTTCCTGTTGAGGGTCTGAAGAGTCAGAAGTACTTTGATGAGCTGCGCCTCACCTACATCAACGAGCTCGATCGCCTCATTAATTATGGGATGGCCAACAATCGTTCTCAGAGGTTCTACCAGATCACCCGACTCCTGGACTCTCTCCAGATGGTGAGACACTGCTTTAATTCACAATATGTCATTTTTAAAGCGAACTGTCAGTTTTTTGAATTTCAAATGTCTTGGTATGCTTGTTGTAGTTGTATATACAAAGTGGTGTATATTACATGAGTCTTTATTTATTAAAATGTTTACATTTTCTAAGATTACTTCATGTTGTCATCGAAGCGGTCCTCATCACTTGATGCACTCTATATCTAATTGTGTAGAGGTATTCTCTGCATCGTATTAATGGGCCCTATTGTGCTTTTTTGGGTCTTCCCTTTCCTGTGTGTTATGTTTTAGTGCATGTAAATGGTCTGCCAAGGCTCAAATCCCTGTGTTCCCTCCAGAGGGAGTTTCTATCACACAATCTCCCCCCCTGCCTGAAACGCCTCCAATGGACTCCTTTGTTTACTTCCATTAAATAGTGACATCACTACGTAACACTTATGCTTCTATTGGCTTAGCGCTCCAACACATAGTATGCCTAAGGGGCGGGACATCTCTCAGCAGTTGACCAATCACAACAGAGCCGACCAGCTAACCAATCAGAATGACATCACCTTGTTACACTCACTGTGCTATTGGTTAGTGCTCCAGCACATTGCACGTGACATGGTAAGGGGCGGGACATCTTTAAGCGATTGACCAATCACAACAGAGCCGGCCAGCTAACCAATCAGAGCAGACTGGGCTCTGGTTTCAGACAGAGGGTGAAAAGAGGTGCTGCAGCACAGGCAGGATGAGAAAGATAAAGAGCTTTTTGAACATTAAAGCGTGGAGACATGTCACAGGAGAGGGACTCAATTGTAGTTAGGGATCATGGGAGTTGTTGTCTTCACCACCATTGCATTTAGATTCTCCTGGTTCAGATTTCTTCAGTTTTCATAAATCAGTAGATTTTCAATAGGAGCAGAATTTCCTGCATGACTCTCTCCGCCCCCAAACATGTAATCGGTGATTAAAGCTGGTGACAACAGTGAGTGTTTAACATGACCTAAAAGTTTAATATTAAAATGTGAAAAAACTGGAGCTAAAGTCAATTCATGACAGCTTCTGGGACACATTCACAATCAATGATCTGTGTTTGAGTTGGAAGGGATGTTGTGTGATTTATTAGGACACTGAAAAGGGATTTAAGTTAGTACAAGGGGAATCTGACAACTGAAATCTAAAAACTTCTTCCCTTTAATCAGTGTTTTAAAAAGACTAATGGATGAGGCGAATATGATTCAGATCTCTAATCCTCAATTTCCTATTGCTTTAGATGGGTGTACAATTTATTTTAATGAGTCATGTTTCTGAGTCATTGTCAAAACACTGCTTGTAGTGAATCTCTAAAATATGTCATTTGTTGTTCTGTTTCAGACGGTAAAGAAGCTCCACCAGTTTACATTCGACCTTTTTGTCCAGGCTCAGTCTCTCCACACGAAGGTCAGCTTTCCGGAGATGATCGGAGAGATCATCTCCGTCCACGTACCAAAGATCCTGGCAGGTTTGGCTAAACCGATCTTGTTTCACCAGTAGAAGGATTTTTTTATTTATCAAAAAGTGACTCATCTTTACGTAAACCTTAACGAAGGTTCTGTTTCCCCACATCGTCAGTTTAAAGCCCTGTCCTGTAATCATTATTTTGTTGTTCAAGTTGTTTGTATTCCTTTTAGCCATAATTGTGATTGTTTGTTCAGAACTGTTAAAGCTTTTATCTGAAGCGCTGCGAGGCCTCGTCTGTTGACAGCTCCGCTTTCAGAGATGTTACTTTATATAAGTCTGTGTTTCATGATTACAGGACACTAAAAGTAGCAGGGTTAAAAACTTTTTTCGCATGTGACATTAAAACACTAGACAAGGTATTAACTTTACCAAAAGAACAAGAGATGGCACAAATAGCAGATGAGAATTGGATAAGGAAACAAACAAATACTTATAGCCCTTTTACTTTCCAAAATCTGTGCTTAAAATTGCACACTGATAACGATTCATGCCGAATCAAGAATATATCTTCTGAGTATGTAGATGTTGTGAACGTGAGAAATACTCTTTCTCGTAAATAAGCAAGACCTTTTGAGGATGATTTGACTGGACATACCCAGGCATCCCAAAATGCATTGCAGCTCTTCAAACTGTTCATTAACAGAAGGCGGTGCAGACAGTTAAAATAAATAACCATGAGTAAAATATTCAAAAAATGCACATCTTAACTTAAATGAAATATCAAAACATTGAAATTGCCTTCAAATAATACTGGAAAATATTCAATTGGGTGGATTTGTATTCAACTGTAACTGGGGCGGTCACACTGACAAACTGATACATTGACTTTAATTAAATGTATTCTATCAACAGATTCCACATGACTGTATTTGGTTAGTTGAAAGCAATAATATTAAGTTTAAATAAAAAGTATTAGGTTCAACTTAATATTATTGCTTTCAACTAACCTAATACAGTTAAGTGAAATGTATTTACATAATACATTAAGTTAAAGTCAACGTTTCAGTTTTTCAGTGTAGTTGTTGATATATGCACCTATTTGATGCAGAGAAGAAGAATTGCTGCACTTTTCTACAGTGGGAACAATCTGCTGGTAATGGCATACCTAATTGTTTATTTGTCAAACAGTATGCACTACATAAGGAGTGAGTATGTAGCGTGCAGTACGTAGGTTTGGAGTTTGAACACAGCTCCAATGCTGCCTTCAGGTGCATCTACTCATTTCCTGCTTATGAATATGAAAGTAGTTAGTACAATTTGGTGGGCATTTAAGTATGTTGGCGTATTAGGACTACTAAGGTAACAAAATAAATAAATGACATTACGAGCTGGGGGAGAGAGAGATATGTCGACAGTGGATGACCTAATCAAATATACTTGTATATTACAAATGTACTGCATGTTTATTAAAAACATAGTGTAATTTGATACATCAATAATGAAATACTTGTGATTTAAGCCCAGAATCACCATATTATCATAGCAGTTGAGCTCAATAGCAATTGGCCCTGTACAGAAGAAAGAAACATACTGATTTGAGTTTGGTTCAGTTTCTCAGCATCAGGATCAACGACACAACGGACAAATGAAAGATGTTGCCATGTTCCATTATGTTGCAGCTCCTCACCAACTCATGTTGATCAAAGTGACGTTTTGGTTCCTTAACCAAAAAAAACCCCCGTAATCTCAAGTTTTCTTCTCATAAATATGTGAATTACATTTGTAGAGAATATCCAAGTCTCTCAGAATATTACCCCCTCCCATGGCTCAGTCATTTATTAATGTTTACCTTCAGAGGCCCTAATACGCTGTCGTTTGTAAGAGCTAAAGTGCCTTAAACACAGAAATGAAGATGTACCTTTAAGATAACTGTTATCAAGCTTTCTAATTAATGGACACAATCCACTGCTGAGACAATCAAAGATAAGGAAGTCAAGCATTACAAAACAAACTTGATGTCCTGCATCATACTTTAAAATGTATGTCAACCATCATATTGTCCTGCTGTGAGAATGTACTGTAGTTTTAGTTCAACAGGTGTTAATCCAGGATAAATCTACTGAGGACAGTTGATGTCTTAATGAGAAACTCAAAAGTGAAATTGAAAGTTAAGGAAAACTAGGTATGTAATGATACATTACATTATTATTGCCACCACTTTGACTCACATTTTCACATCTCACATCTAAACATAATAACTGAAGATTAAAGTCCCCTGCAGCAATCGCACAACCCAGATGACATTTATTTTAACAATCAACACTTGAAATGATTGAGACACTTTTAAATGATGGGTTGGTATGTAAACCATACTTTGGTGTTTAATAAACACCTTTATACTTGTTTTCTTTAAACACCTTTATTTATATCAAAAGTATAAAGAGAATACATATGGAACAACATTAAGTTATTCCCTCTAAACAATAAAGAAACAATGTTTGAATTAAAATAAAAAACTAAACTAAGCTTAGCAAGATTTTTCAATTCTGGTAACATTATTATTCACCCATGTCTATGATGCATTGATAACATACTTGTACTGTATGATTATAGCTATGAGCATTCCTAAATATAACAACTATGTAAATAATTCATTATAACAACAATCACAACGCATAAAGCATGATCGTATAAGCGTAATGACTTATGAGGTCAACTATCATAAAACGTTATTATTGCTTGTCACTCATAAATCTTTGTGTTCGGGTCTCCCGTGACCCGTTTCAAGTTAAAATTATATAATAACTACGCTGTAGTTTTTTTTATCTCAACAAGGCTTCATGATATCCTCCACAACAGCTATATAAACACTAAAAAACTGATTTTGACCATTTTAGCCAAGTCTGAAGGTCTCTAAAAAATGTGGCCCAATCAAGATTCATCTTTGACTTCAGACAGACCACTTAACAAGTTACATGTTACATTTTAAATGGTACGTTGCCATTGTTGCACTGTATCCCCTGAACACACCGCGTGCTTACTGTCGCTTATCCTAAAAGCTTTTCTTCTCACACTGGCAGCACATGTGTAGAGCTGTTTGCTGACGTTAGAGCATTAACTTATAAATATGTAGAGGGTAAACTTGTTCTGGCGGACACTGTAAGCTGCTTTTATACTTTATTCCTCCACTGCACAGCTACAATAAAATAAGCAATTTTGCAGATCTGGCCAAAAAGATATCATGCCTTTTTGGTTTTAATTGTGCATTGAATAGGTATCAAACCTCCATTCAGACTCTTTTGCAGCTTCTTTAAAGCTCATTAAGGCAAAGGACTAAAGTTGTGTCCACTCAGTCAGCGGACAGAGCTATCCTTAACTGACAGCACGGAGTGACGCGTCCTGCTGTGTGTAGCAGCAGAGACTTGCAGACACACAATGAGAAGTGGATTCAAAGTGCCTGCGATATTAGATTAGGGCAGTCATTTTCCAACAGGACAACAAATAGAAACGTGCAGCCAAAGTAGAACTGGAAGGGCTTCTGATGCACAATCTGAAAGGTCCTTGAATAGCCCTGCCAACGCTTGGAGTTCAGAACCAAGGGAAACAATCTGTGGAATGCCTTGAAGATAACTCAAAAACACTTGAGTAAAACTGTTGAAAAGCATTCAGTCATGGAGCCGAAGCATTCAGTCATGGAGCCGAAGCATTCAGTCATGGAGCCGAAGCATTCAGTCATGGAGCCGAATTCACTTTTAGTTTTTTATTTAAAGTGGACCTATCATGCTATATTTGAATAATATAGTGTAGGACCATACCTATATAAGGCATATTTATACTTTTTTTTTTCAAAATACCAAACAGATCATGCATTTTAGCCATGCCTCATTTTGCTCAATTTGACATTTTTTAGATCTGTTTTAGCAAGGGTTGATTCTGTGAGAACAGCACCATCTAGAGGCCTGGCATATGTACTACAACGTCTCCAGCGCTTTCGAACGGCAATGCCGTGGCTGTCTCCTCCTGATTGGTGGAGTTGGCCTAATAGCCGTAGCGCCACCGTCCTGACGTCAGGACAGTGTTCAAATCTGGATCAGTTTTTATCAGATCCGTTGCAGCCCCTTTTTTAGAGATTTGGGTATGGAGGAAAATAGAGAGGGTTGTGTTTTCTGACACTTGGTGAGTTTCCTGGAACACCGGGGACACATATTCATGTATAAAAGATGTACAAAACTGCATTTTGCATGATAGGTCCCCTTTAAAGAACACAAATTTAGCGTATTATGTCACTTTGTACATACAGCAGAGCGGGAATCACACTGAAATAGTATCTTGTCAGTAAATGAATCAAACGTGGAGCAGATAAGCGTATTTATCATCAGAACAAATAAAACTTCAACATAACTTCAGCTCACGTCCTGCAGCAATGCTTTATAACTCTGTAAATGCAACACTTTTAACAATTCTACACTTCTTTCACTAGCTTGTAGATGCATGCATTGTGTGTGTGTAGAACTGTATTCATAATTTTTAGCTTTACACAAAGCAATGCATGGACATCCGCGGAAGTCTCTCCTGTGTATTCTGTCGTCGTTCAATGCATGAGCCATCTGTCAGGAAGCATGATGCCATCTTGTTGTACAGTAACAAGCTGGCAATAATCGCCAGCTTCAGTGTTTTGTTTCGGACCCATTCGCTAACTTCAGCTGTGCGTCAAAAGTACTTTTCTTCATCTGCAAGTTAATATCTTCATATTGTCTTTTTATACAATATTTACTAAATGAAAATGAACGGAGGGGTGGACCAATCCAGGTGATCCATGAACATTGATCCCACAACTTAAATAAATGTGTCTACCGTTGTTTAAGGAAGCAGTAATGGAGTGTGATATTAAACATACAGAAATGTCATTCAAACTTGTTCCGTATATCATATATAAATCTAAACATGTAAAAGAACTGGAAAACGACTCATCCTGTGTTACCCTTGAAGACTGTTCAATACTCTTTTTGTATGCATGCAACACATTAAAGGTAGCACTGGGTGAGTCATTTATATTCAAATGGTCATTTTCTTGGTGATATTCCTTTAAGTAACAACATAATGGTAAACTTTTGATTAAATTGAAATATTCAGAAATATTCTCACAATTCCCAAATGCACTATATGGTAAGACTATTGTTGCCGATAACACTTTGTAATCCTTGAAATGAACACTGGTTTTAAATAATGTTGTAATTTGTAATGCTGTGTTAGCTTTATTCGAAGGCATTGCCAGTCAATGAGCCACCCAGTTGCTCTGTTCATTTTGAATATGATTGAGTCACAGTAGGCTACAGTGTGTGTATAATGTTGATGGACATTAGTTGGTACACTGTGTGCCCAATGTACTGCATATTAACCTGGTTCTTTGTACATGCTTGTACATGTATCTCTTTAATGTCTGTTTTGGTGTCCCAGTTCTTAACTTTTAAAGACATCTCTTCTAGGATTTATACCTTTTGTGACTTTGTGTTTTTCAATATGTGTTTTTATCAAAGGTGTACATTTGCATCGTCTTTTAAAGGCAATTAAAATAATTCTGACTCTTTGTTTGAAGTCATTGTACTTGATGTGAAGTGGATATTTAGTGCAGTTTCAAAAAAGGAATTTTAATTAATCTCAGACTTTAGTAATGAATAGGCTTTTTTCCTTTTTAATTATTTGGATTCCAACATGCACGAAAGCTGGGCAAATGGGGGGATTTAACAAGGATAAGACCCATTAATAACACTCGTAAATGGATAAAAGTGCCATACGATGCCATTATCTTAAAATCAAAAAAATATTTAACAAGTGTCAGATGGTACTTTGTGCATTTCCAAAGTGAAGCAATATGGGAAAAACTTTGCACTAAATACATGTTTAATTCATCTTGGACATCCAGTAAACAGTGTGCTTGCTTCAGTGAGAACACACACTGTTTTGTTCTTGTGTGGATGCTCCTCTCATCAAGAGTCTCGCACTTGGCCGCATATTAATTTGCAGCTCAAGGTTATTTGAATTGGCACGAATATGGCAAGGGAGTTTCCGCCGGTGATTTGTGTGGGAAAAGAAGTCCAAGTCTTTATACTGGGGCTGCACATTAGCAAGACATTCTGAAAAATTGAGGAACAAGCCGAATGTGGAATGGAAAGTTTTGAGGTGGGGTGGCGAGGCTCTAACAGGTGGTGAAGGTTGGAATGTGGAGGAGGCAAAGAAATTGCTGAGTGAGTTTAAAAAGGGTTTATTAAACAGATGGAGTTATCTGACTGAGTGCATAATGCAAGGCCGTAACCAGTCAACATTGGGGGCGACCAAAAATTAAATCAAAATTTGAATACTAATTTCCTGCTATTCTAAAGGAAAATATATACAAATTCACTAACACATGGGATACTTTAAAACCTGTTAAACCCCATGCCTCCGCCCGTGGGGGCAAAAAACAACAATATTCACGAAACTGTGTCTCAGGCATGGGCGTAGGAAGCATCCTCAATGTGGGTGGGACAATTTGACGGGGGGTGTGGGCAGGTGGTGGACCTCGGTAGGGGGGTCCGGGGGCAACTTTAATGTTGAAGTTAAATGTATCAATCTGGTGCACTTTGAGAGCAACATTAGGGACTAAATCTATGGATACATCTCTCTATGAAACAGAACTGTAAACAGATTGACTTTTTCTTTATGCATATTTTACAAATCACTCCCCTAGCTACTATTCCTGAAAAGTTCGGTTTTAACATCAGAACTACAAGTTACTTACACAAAGAAGCTAAACCGGAGGGTTCATTAACATTACCATTACGAAATAAAATAATATAGATTACTTTAGAGCTAACTAGAAAAATATACTAGAACTGATGGAGGGCAAATTAAAACATGACTGACCTGCTTGGAGCATCAACGCTAACTGAAGCTGGACTCGGACGTGTCACAGCGAAATACACCCCCCAGGTATAAAATAAAGATATGCATAAACAAACAAAGGCGGAACCAATTTACATATGAAAAGAATATATCATTTTGGTGAAGTTCACAATAACAGAAAATAAAGATTTTCAAGTATACAAATAGCCAAAATAAAATAAAATAAAAAAGTCATAGAATAGCAATTTTATTTTAATTCTTTTATATCAGTTAGGCTATATATTGGGGGGGGGGGGGACATTTTGAGCGTATCTGAATATTGGGGGGGATGTGTGTGTCCCCAATGTATATGGTGAATTCGGCCCTGGCATACTGCAAGGTACTGCTGCGTTTTTCATTTGGTTTTAAGCGTGAACGTTTACCATCTTATCTTTTTCCTTAAATTATGAATTAATTTCCTGTTGTACAAGATATTTGAATGGAAGTGAATAAAGGCCAAACATAATGGAAACCCACCAGATAAATCATGTCCCTGGAGCCAATGTGGTTGGGTTTCACAGTCACGATGTTTTTCAAGTTTTAAACACTGCAGGGGATGACCATAGAGACACACAGAGACTTCAAAGTAAAAGTTTTGGATTGTAAGGCCAACATTATTCTTATATTATTATACATGTTTGCAGCATTGCTTTGGGTGTTTTAGGCTGCGCCAAATTCATGGTTATTCATGGTACCCTCAGAATAAAGCCATCGGGGATTCTCTGACGTTTAGTTTGGTCCAGTCGGGAGTCCAAACTAAACGTCCTAAATGACCTTGGTAATCCCGTTTTATCTGGCACTTTCAACACATCGTAATTTACTTATTGGGAGGCAGCTGACTGTTTTGCTCAAAAGCTGCAAAACTAATTAAAGCCATTTCCTCCCACATTCTTTGCCCAATTGCCACCAAACTTGCTTCAGTGCGTCTTCGGACTGTCCTCACAAACTGTCCTGCCAAGGTTTTATATCAAAAAGTTTTACTGAAAATAGCTAAAGCAGACTCTCACTAATTAAATATCCAAACATCATGAAAATAAATGTCTGCCATAGTAAAAACATTTTGGTTAATTAAAAACAAACCTCAAAAGTGATTTTAAGACAGTATTTTGAATTATATCCTCATTTATTTGTGTAGTTATGTTTACATGTTTACATGCACTGGATATAGAGCATCATTACTCATCAGTTCGTCAATTATGCTCATCAATAAATAAATACAAATACATTTCCTCATTTCTCTCTTGTTTGGATGGAGTACACAAAACTCATAGATGTGAACATTTTGACACTATAGTTGACATCACCGCTGGTGATTTGCTCAGTCATATTGTAAAACCATCTGTTCCTCACTTAAATTGGCAGGTAGAAAGCTTGGACTTGTCTCAATTCAAACATTTCCAGAAAACATTGAGTGGGAAACAGTTTATTCTTTACATTAAACATTTTGTTTGGGATACCACAGGGCTCATTGTTGGGCCGTCATATTTGATTTTTACTACACAATTATAATGGCCAAAAATAATTCCTAATAACTATGTTAATAAGGGCTAAAATGCATGTGTTCCATCCAGAGGGAGTTAAGCACTTGGAAAAGCGCTAAAATAAATACCATGACTTATTAGTGTATGGTGACAGACCTCCAGGGCACCATCATATGTTTCTCAAATCGAGCTGAACTGAGACAGTACTTACATTTTCTTAAGGTTGTAACTTTGCAAACTCTTCATGCACTCTTAGTTTGTACACAACACATTTATTAGCTGTCTCACTTTAAATGGCGAAAAAATGGGTCTGAGAGCAATTAACACCACATAAAGATGGGATTGTTCTCCAAAGAAAATGTATTATGTGTTAATGTGCTCTTCAAACACCCCAAAGAGAACACAAACACACAAATAAATG